GGCCTTCTCTGTGGCAGCACCTGCCCTCTGGAACGATTTGCCCCCGGAGATATGGAGGATATCAGATCTCCGGGCTTTTTGCCATGCCCTAAAAACTTTTTTCTTCCATCAAGCAGGGCTGGCGTGAACCCCCACCCCACCCCCGTTTTTGAGATATTAGATTTTTTAATTGTTTAATGGGTTTTAGTCGTAAGGTTCTTAATTTTTGGCCAAAGGGTATAATTCTTTTAAATTTTTAAATTTTGTATTGGATGTTTTTTACTTGGCTGTGCACCGCCCTGAGTCCACTAGGAGAAGGGCGGTATACAAATTTAAATAAAATAAAAATAAATAAAATAAATAAAAATATCCGTGATGGCAAACCTATGGCACGTGTGCCAGAGGTGGTACGTAGAGCCCTCTCTGTGGGCACATGCGCAGTTGCCAGCTGCTCTTCCGGGATGCGTAACACGCATGCACACCGGCCAGCTGGTCTTCACGCCAAGACCAGCTGGCTGGCATGCATGCACGCATTGGAACCTGGAAGAGAGCAGCTGACTGGTGCGCATGTGCACTGGACCAGCTGGCTGGCGCGCATGTGCATGACAGAACCTGGAAGAGCAGTTGGCATGCGCATGGACACCGGCACCGGCCAGCTGCTCTTCTAGGTTCTGATACTCCAGTGCGCATGCACGCTCCAGTTTCAGCACTCAGTGCCGAAAAGGTTAGACGTCACTGGTTTATATAAATGTCCAGCAGTCTTTAGAAATGATCTTTGTTTGCAACTTGAAGCTGTGCTTTTATTTCTATATGGCTGCATTAAATTGCCTTGTTGCAGCTACCACTAGATGGAACTCCAATATACACGAGGTCCCAAACGTATTCCAAGTTTAATTTGCCTGGAATAAGTGTTTTTATTTGATCAGGGTTGTTGCCCTTTAGACCAGCTGTTTGGAGTCTAAGCTTTGAGGCATGAATTGTATGGATTTAGGAAAATCTCACTGAGAAAGAAATAAAGGAAAGTAACAAGATGTCTATAGTCCACTTTGCCTTTGTAATATGCTATTTTTTCTATCCCATCATCTGGATTCTTTAGAAATTCTTTTGGTGCTATTTTTAAGTTTTATATTGTTGTGAGTTTGCAGAATGTATTGCTTTTATTGCTTTAAGCTACAGCATGGGCATTTTTACAAGAATTCATGGCATAGCCCCCAAATCAGCTCGACTTCTACAATTGCTGCCACCATCTGTGTTTACCAGCTGAGCTGTTTTATTTCCAACTTAATTATACAGTATCCAAAACTGCAGGAAAAATAGGTGGAAAATGCTTTGCAAAACCTGCAGGCAGAGTATCATCCTCTTGGTGGTACTTGCGTTATTCTGCCTTTCACTTCATCACAAAGCAAAGAGAGAAAGGTCCTCAAAACAGCCAGAAACATAAAACCTCCAGCTACCTGGTATATAAGAGATCCAGAAATCAATGAAAAATCTTCAGGGGGATATTGAAACTCTTGGTCTGATAACCATATGTGATCAGTTTCATGATGGAAGCAGAGCATAAATCACACATGCAGCCTATACTTGATGCCAGAGGTGGGTTTTAGCAGATTCTGACCTGTTCTGGAGAACCGGTAGCGGAAATTTTGAGTACTGGAAATTCGGAGAACCAGTAAATACCACCTCTGACTGGCCCTGCCCCCATCTATTCTCTGCCTCCTGAGTACCAGTTGATCGGCTGGGTCTTCTTTTGTTGCCCTGAATAGGAGAACGGAGCTGGAAAGCAGGTTAGTAGGATGGGGAGGGAATGGGGATTTTGCAGTAACTTTCCCGTAGAATGGGGTGGGAATGGAGGTTTTACAGTATCCTTCCCCTGCCATGCCCAGCAAGCCATTCCACGCCCACCAAGCCACGCCTACAGAACCGGTAGTAAACATTTTTGAATCCCACCACTGCTTGATGCCCATTGGTCTAGCTGTCCCCATGTCCTGGGAGAGGCTCCAACACCATAGCAACAATCCCCTTTCTCAGTAAGTGATGAAAATACCAAGGTGTAGCAATGACATAAGACAAAATATTAAATGGAAGAGCTATGCTAGCCATATATGTGCCATTACCACATCAAGATGTGAGTCTGTGTGTGTCTGTGTGTAAATAAATGGTATCTTATGTGGTATTGGCACATATATGGCTAGCATGGTTCATCCCACATATGGCCTATCTCATAAAAAAACTGATTCTGGGTGGCATACAATAAAGGTGTAAACAGTAAACATATTAAAAAAAATCATTACTTTAAAAAGAAATCCCAAGGCTAAGAGAGAATACCAACAATAAAAACAATAATGTGGCCACCTCAATATCTCCCCAGTCTCCTGGGATCCCCAGCTCTGATAAGCCAGAAAATCAGTGGGTGGAGCAAACCTTATTTCATCATAACTCCCTCATCATGCCCTGTATATAGAATGAAAGTGGGGCCACTGATAGTACGCAAGCCTGCAGCAGATGTGAAATCGTGAATCAAATAAGAATTCAATCACAGAAATTATTGAAAAATGAAAACACATCAATAGCCAGCATATTATGGCATTCTTACAAAAAGAAAAAAAAAGTACGGGGATTTGGGTTCCCAATCCTTGTATAGTCAACTGATCAACTAAGTGTTCCAAAACCCATATATTTTCCCAAAATGTAGTGGGAAAAAAAGACAAAATACAAAAGAGTGATGCCATTGCAGACTTCATGAGTGACTGGGGCAGAGGAAGGCCTGAGAGGAGATGACCCTGGAATGGCAGAATCAATATGAAGTAGCAGAAGTTACAGGGTAAATTGTGTCCACGTTCTTCCCCTTGAGCATCAATGCACCACACATCGACCACTTACTATGAAATAAGTACTATGAGATCAAAGGGGAAAATCAGAGGTCTTAAAGTGTTCTTGAGGTGCCCCAGCAGTAGACTGATCTTGAGGTACAGGTAGGGCATGTGGATGCATCACCCAGGATAGGGTTGCCAGGTCTGCTTCCAAAAAATAGCAGACAAGCGGGGGGGGGGGGGTTAAGTAGTAAAAAAGTGAAAAAAAATTTACAATTAAATTATATATTTTCTTACAAACAATTTACAGTAGGCCGTCGTATTTGTTCTGTCAGTTTCGTTGTTGGTAATCCATGCAAAAGTAGCTTCCCAGTCTTTGGTGTATTTGCACACTCCTCTCTTTTGTTTTAAAGAATTCGAAATCTCGCCGCTGTCACTCTCATCACTTGACGCCATTTTAGATCAGTCGACATAAGCTACAATACATTTTAAAAATGTGAACTGTATATAATTTTATAATATATTTTTATTTTAATATCATCATTAATTTTTTCGGAGAATCGAGTTCAATGGATATTCAATCTTTGTCTCATGAAAGAAAAGACAAAATGCGATTCTCCTATTCTCTTAGACTGTACAGCTTTAGATTACATACCATTTCATCATAAAGCTTTTGAATAAAAAAAATGTCCACTATTTTGTGAAAAAAAATAATGAACATAATGTGAAAAAAGCAGACTGTCCGCTCAAATAGTGGACACCTGGCAACTCTACGCCAGGAATATTTGCTGGGGTACCCTTGTATCAAAGAAAAGAAGTTATTTGACTATAGCCTCAAAGAAGTGGCAGGCTTCCTTTTGTAGAGAGACTGGATAGCCATCTGTGATGATTAGGGGACTCGAGGATGAAACATAAAAAGAACAGTTGCTGGAATTGGGTATGTCTAGTCTTATGAAAAGAAGGACGAGGGGTGACATAATAGCAGTGTTTTGATATCTCAGGGGCTGCCACAAAGAAAAGGGAGTCAAACTATTCTCCAAAGCACCTGAGGGTAGGACAAGAAGCAATGGGTGGAAACTAATCAAGGAGAGAAGCAATTTAGAACTAAGGAGAAATTTCCTGACAGTTAGAACAATTAATCAGTGGAACAACTTGCCTCCAGAAGTTATAAATGCTCCAACTCTGGAAGTTTTTAAGAAGATATTGGATAACCATTTGTCTGAAGTGGTGTAGGGTTTCCTGCCTAAGCAGGGTTTGGATTAAAAGACCTCCAAGGTCCCTTCCAACTTTGTTAAATTATTATTATCTGTTGAGATTATTTTAATCTGAATTCCTGCATTGAACAGCGGGTGGCACTCAGTGGCCACTATTTTTCATGGCTCTTCCTCTATATTGCTTCTGTTGCTATCTTTCAAATCACAGCAGCCATCTGACTTCCTTATAAGGTAACAAGTAAGGAAGCTATACAGAATTTACATAGCTTAAAGCTATTCTTAGATGATAACAGAATAAGAGGGAAATTCTATTTTAATCACAAAACAATTAAAAATGCAGGCACCAGCAATGAAGAGATCCTACTTACAGTCTCCTGGATTTATAATTTATAAATTAACATATAGGAAGTCCTCAACTTACTACTAATCATTTAACGATAGTATAACAGCCTCAGAAAAAGTTATTTATGACATGTCCTCGCACTTACGGACATTGCACCATCATCCTGCAGTCACATGCTCACAATTAGGGCAGTTGGCAACTAGTTTATATGCACAATGGGTTGCAAATTTCTGCTGTCACATAATCATAATTTGCAACCTTCCCTGCTAGTTTCTAATAAAAAAATGTCAATTGAGGAAGCTGGATTTGCTTAATAATCAAGTGATTCACTTAATGGCTGTGGTTTTTAAAAAATCATACAATCGGGTCCAGTCATGTGATGAGTACCCTAATTTACAAAGGAAATTCTGGTCTCTATTGTGGTCATAAGTCAAGGACTTCTTTAAGACTGCTGTTGGATGGTACCAAAATAAGAGGAAAATCCTGCTAAGGAGGTGTAATGTATGAACGTATGAACTGAGGCAAGTTGAATACAATGCTGTGGAGAATGGTAGGAAAAAAAATGGGGAAACTTTGTGCTGTGTTTGATTTGTTGCAAGGACTCCAAATGTGCCAGCTGAAATGATGAAAAGAAAGAAGCAACACTTGGCAAAATTCTTCTCCAATACATTTGCTTTTTTATTGTTGATGCAGAAAATTCTTTGAATATGCATACATTTATATATATATATATATATATATATACACATACACACTACACACACACACAAACATTCATACAGGCACACACATCTATTGTATAAAATAAAGAGTGGACATAGTGTGATCTTTCATGGGTGAGTCAATGCAGACATTATTTCAAACAAAGCCTAGGCCACTTGACACCATACCTGTCCCCAGCCCAATAGATTTCTTGCAGCGTCCCCTTATGCTTGCACGAAGCATTTTCGTTTTTTTTTTAAATTAGGGGGCAGAAGGAATCCCCAAAGGAATGATTTCCCAAGATTCAACATTTGATAGAAACCAGAAATGGGGAAAGAACAGGCTTTTAAAACATGTTAAATGACACAACAGGAGTGGAATATTTAAAAAGAGGCAGCTGATCTTCCATTCACTGAAAAGTGAGTAAGTCTTCACCACATATAGGAATCATCAAACCTATGAAAAAGAAAGACAAAACTAAAGTAAACCTTTTCTTTAAACCTTACTTCAAAGGAAGACTAACTCTACATTACACTATTCAATTAATGGTTTGCTAGTGATATAATTATAAATTGATTCTTGACCTTGGTGGTGGGATTCTAAATCTGAATAAAATTGATGCATGCAGATGAAACAAATGGGTATAAATCAGTGGTGGGTTGTTACCACTGATTTACCACAGTTCGCCCTGGATCAGGCAAACTGGTAGCAGTGGCAGCAGAAGGCTCCGCCCCAGATGCAGAAGTGTCACATGCGCTAACCGGTAGCGACGGGTTTTGAAACCCGCTTCTGGTACAAATGCCATTTAGTTTGCATGGATCAAAAGCAGCATTATCCAATTTATTTATTTATTTGTGTCAGAAGCATCACAATTAAAATAAGGCAACATAAAATTGCCTTATGTTGTATAATACAACATAAAATATAAAATACATGATTAAAATATGTACGAATTAAACAGATCTTGCCCAGAAACTAGCAACAGTAATTGTGTTATCCAATGCAATGCTAACATAGAAATCATAAATTGTGATCCCCACAACATTAAAAGAGGACCAGATTGAGAAAGGCTGCAGTACAGAATAACTTTCTTCTTCCACTTAAGAGCGGCTGATGAAGGAAATGCATAACATTTTGACATATCTACTGGTGGTTGGTAGCATATATATATATATATATATATATATATATATATATATATATATATATATATATAAGCATAAACCTATAAATTCTTGGATTTCATGATTTAACCACAGTGGCACAGTGGTAAGAGTGCAGTACTGCAGGCTACTTCTGCTGACTGCTGGCTGACTGCAATTTGGCAGTTCAAATCTCACCAGGCTCAAGGTTGACTCAGCCTTTCATCCTTGCGAGGTGGGTAAAATGAGGACCAAAATTGTTGGGGACAATATGCTGACTTTGTAAAGGATTTAGAGATTTATTTATTTATTTATTTATTTTATTTATTTTATTTCTATACCGCCCTTCTCCCGAAGGACTCAGGGCCGTGTACAGCCTAATTAAAAACACAAAGACAGACAATATTTAAAAGTAATTAAAATTATTAAATAATAGGCCCAATTTATAAAACCCCAAATTTAAAATCCCATTTAAAACCAAATTAAAATCTTTATATTGATAGCCCAGCCTGGCGGAACAACATGGTTTTGAGGGCACAGCGAAATACCCGGTATTTCGAAATACAGAGATGGCTGTAAAGCACTGCAAAGCACTGCAAAGTGGTATATATGTCTAAGTGTTATTGCTATTTAAGCCGTGTTTGAGAAATGAGATTCAATTTCTATTCAGATTTCATATATTTGAAACTGTAGTGGTGTTTCTTTTGAAACTCGTTGAAAGCCTGCAACTCCACAAAATTTGTAAGATAATTTCTAGATAATCCATTTTTCCAGGAATTCTGGGGTTATTTGCAGCCTAGAAAGTGAATGGTGGCTTGATGGATTTGCAACTGCCGAAACTAGGTATTGTTTTGTTTTTGTATGCAACCAGAGAGATACACAGCCTATGAAATAGGTGGTGATAGTAGAAACTTAGTATATTTTCATCTTGTGGGAGATTTAGGAGACTTTTATTATACTACTAGGAGTTGCACAAGTTCATAAAGGACAGTGATTAATTGTCCATCTTTGCTATTTTTTCTCACTATTCCAAAATCAACAGAAGTAAAGATAATCACATATTATTTTTAATAAGTAGAAATGGGAAACATTACTTAGACTCACCTTGATCTGGCATTGCTATTGTCTCCAAAAACAAGCTCTGACATCAAGGTCTCTGGGATAGATCTCTTGCCATACCTGATTGTAAAAAGTAAACACTAAGTTAAAGCTCCCCAATTGTTTTCTTGCAGAGAAAAAGCCTCCCAAATGTTATTAATTTTTTCCTTGTTCCCGATCTCTGCAATTACAAAAAATAAAATAAAATCCTACCCGCTAGGACTGATTATCTGGAATAGGCTTTGAAAATATAACATGGTATTACTTTTTAATTATTTAACTGTGTTTTGATTGTCTTCCTTTTATTTTATTTCTATATATCATGTTCTGTTATCTCCCTAATCATCTGGATGGATGAAAAGGCAGGATATAAATAAAACAAATCATGAACAAAATGGATAAATAACTAAATAAATTTTAGTTACTGATCATCTGCAAATTGTTAATAGCCAGGGAAGCTACCATTGATTTCTGCACAACCACGCTTAAGGCAAGAAATTTTAAGCCTCAATCAGGCCTTAGCTCTATATTTTCTCATTTAGCAGATTAAATTCTATTTTGGATTTGGAGAAAGTGAAATAAAGCTTGATTCCTTACAATTCTCCCTATGTAATTTCTTGGCAACAATATACCAGTACTTGAGCGCTGTCTCCTTCTTTTTTTAAAAACTTTCCAATTTAGCTTATAGCTATAGAATTCCCTTGAAGTATCATCCAGACTTAAACCCTGCTTCCAATTCCAGAAAAGGTTTCCCCAGTATTGCCACTTGTTGAGATTTGGGATGTACAGCTGATTGCAAAATCTGAGTGCTCAGATTATTCAGATAAGTCTTCCATTTATAACTCTTTGTTCAGTGATCATTCAAAGTTACAAAAGCACTGAAAAAAGTAATTTACAACTAGTGCTCATACATAATTGTTACAGCATCACCATGGTCACATGGTCCCAATTAGATGCTTGGCAACCAGTATTTATTTACAATGATTGTAGTGTCCAAGGATCATGTGATCACCACAGGGGTGGGTTTCACTTACTTTTGCTACCAGTTCGCTCGCGCGCGCACACCACTTCTGCACATGCGCAGAAGCTTCTGCACATGCGCAGATCATATTTGATAACATCCGGGTAGGTGGGCAGAGCCTCCCGCCGCCCCTGCTACCGGTTCACCCAAACCAGGGCGAACCGGTAGCAACCCACCACTGGATCACTATTTGCAACTTTCCTAGCTGGCTTCCGACAAGCAATGAGAGAAGCCAAATTTGCTTAATATGATGCATTTAACATGATTCATTTAACAACTACAGTGATTCACTTAACTAACAAAAAAGATCATAAGATTGGGTGCAATTTTATGCAATAACATCTGCCTTGCTTAGCAATTGAAATTCTGATCCCAATTGTGATTGTAAATCAAGAACTATCTGTAGAAGGTTCATCTACTAAGTCTAAGCAAAAATCAGAGGACATATATTTAAGAACTTTTTTCTATTTCTCCAATCTTTTTAATTATCATTCAGGATAATGGGTCCAGAATTTCATAGGAAGTTGATGAAATATTCCCAGTTAATAGGTAGCTAGCAAAAAGCAGTTGTTCAGCTGTACTGAAGATGTCTCCTTCATTTATGTATGGAATAAATGGTATAATTGGCTCAAGACTAGAAATAAAGAATAATAATTATAAGGATGTGCTCCTTTGCTGGAAGATGTCAAGAAAAGATTGGACAAGCATTTGCCTGGGATGTTATAAGGATCCCTGCTTTGGGCAGAGCGTTGGATTAGAAGACCTAAAGTTACAGCCCTATGATTCAATAGTTTCATAACTAAACTGACTATATTTTTCCAACTTATTCTAAGATCCAAGAATATTTATACAGAAGAAAATCTATAAGTTGACTTCTGGTTGCTAACAAGAAAAACTTCTTTGATTGGCTTCTACAGGAAGAAATTCACTGTTCTTCCATGGCTCAGCAAACAAAGAACAGTTTCTCAACTTTATGACTAGACTATGGACACTGAAGAGCTCAAAAGTATCATAGTAGTAAACACCAACAACTGAGAGAGACAAGTGCTCACTGATGGTCTCCTGGATCTGGTTTCCAATTAAGTTTCTAAGTAATAAGAGCTAATAAGATGGTGTAGGCTTTCATGACTTGTTTCTGTTGGGCAGTGTTGGGCTTCAGGATTTAGTGACCATTCATTAGACTAGACTACAATCAATAAATCTTGAAGCCCAACATTGTCCAGCTAATGAGCTGTTCCAAACAACCAACACTAATAGGAAAAAAAGCTAATTAGGCATTTTAGAGCCTAGTTCCTCATTCCCTCCTAAAAGACTGCAAAGCACAGCAATCCCTGGAGATTAAGAGCATCATTATGTATGCACATATTTGCACCAGGAAGGAGCCACTAAAGTAATTGTAAAATGCATGCACCACACTGATGTACAAGCTTATTAAGTAACTGAGAAACATAAAATTTATCAGGGTGGAATCTATAAATTCTACCAGGATAGAATTTTGAATTATGTTACTTTTTGAAGTACTTGACTGAAGATAGATGCAATATGAAAAGAATCCATAGCTTCTAGATAGATATAATATAAAAAGCTGATGCATTGAATAATCATGATTTAAGATGCTGCATATTCAAGTAAACCTTATAGTTTCTCAATCAACAGTCTTGTATTCCCCCTTTATATGGATTCACCTATTTGCTATTGCAAATTTTTCACTTAGGAAAAACGTTAACAAAATGTGCTTGGAGATGGAAGCTTGAGTTAAATGAGGCTGCATTAATTGCTCCTATTTTTTGGATCCTCACCACAAATTCTTATCCATTGTACATTAATTCTTATCATTTGTACATTAAGAAGAAATGAAATAGATCAAGGTAGAATTCACAAGTGGAAAAATGGCATAAAATATCACCTATGAAAGATGCCCACAACTACAAAAACTACATTCATGCTTTTGCACACCTTTGCCTTGTCACCAAGTTAATGTAATGCCGAAGGTCAGCAAGGTATTTTGCCATTTCTTCCGGCGAAGCGTTTTCTCCAGGACTCTCAGGCTTGGGTGGATAGGCATCCACAAATGTTCCCAGACAGAACATGATGCACAGAGCCATGGCAATCACAAGAGGCCAAGACTTCAGAGAGGCAACCATCTAGAAGGAAACAAATAATACTGACAAGTCCATAAAAATCTAGGAAATAATCCATGCTAACCTAGATGCACCACTGCAAGAAGACTGATATTCTCAAGTTCAGCATGATGTCTACCTTTATATTAACTGCCGAACCCATAATAAGCTTTGTCAAAGATATTGCTGGAGAAACTTACAATTAGTATATTGTACTCTCTCTCTCTGTGTCCATGTGTGTGTGTGTGTGTGTGTGTGTGTATGATGTATGTATATGTATAAAATCATTTGATATTGCATATATTTATCATTTGTATGTTAACAATTGCCTAAGTGCACCATCTCACCCTACTGAACATCTGGTTCACTGATATATTTAGCCTAGTTTGTCAAACTCTGCTTAAGAGTTTGGTCCTGTGGAGCATTTGGCAATAATGCTTTTCTAAAATCAGTCTAATCCTGACTGCACTGGAACACAAACCTCTGCTTGGAAGAAAGCACACATATAAAACTAAGGTGGGATGTGAGGCAGCAATAATCTTATCCATCTATTCCATAAAATGCACAACTTTTTCATCACTGAATTTCCTCCACCCTCTCCCAGCTACTCACTGTGAAAAGGAGGTACAAAGGCAAAGCTAGATATGAAGAGATGCTGAAGCTCTGCGATCTTCAAGTTGAATCTTCCAATTGCCTCTGTTAACAGCTCTCACAATCAGGGTTTATATGCTTGGTAAGTGAGTAAATGAAGGAGGGGGAAGGCTCCTCCCCCTCCCTCATTTTCTCTCTCCCCCACGTTCATTCAATCATTCACCCATAATTTGTTGATCGATGCAATTCAGTATCAGCTACCTTGATTATCTTTCCAAGGAAACTATCTATGCATGCCAAGGGAGGGAGGAATTCATTAGAAAACTAGATGAACCCAAAGGGAATTAAGAGTGTCTCTTAAGAGTGTCTAAAAGTGTCTCTAAGCCAGTGTCAAAGAATACAACTTTTAATGGCCATCAGTAGGATGGCAATGATGGAGAAATCTACCCCCTAAGAGGTATAATGCAGAGTGAAGACACATTCTTTTAAAAGCATAAGAAATCTCCCATAGGAATAAACAAGTTCATATCTAAGACAAACTACAGTGCAAAAGAGGCTTTATCAACACAGTAGACCCAGTCCTTTTGCTTATGACTTCAGAAGTCCTTTTGAACTTCTTCTCCAAAATTATTATTGTTTGGTAGGAATGGTTGAAAGCGGAACCTGCCTATAATTCTTTTAGGATTTAATATTTCAAAATTACAGAAAAAAATATGGGCAAGTTCCCCCCCCCCCCCCCGAATTCACTGTACAAAATGATCTCAGGATCAATTAAGACTGCTTGAATATTGATTGAAAGCATCTTTAATGAACTATCAAGTTTTATTTGATTAAAAAAAGGAGTCCCTGTGGATTTTATTCTGCTAGTCATTGCTGACTATAGGGGACGGTGCTTATGTCCATTTCAAGGCCATTGATCCAGCCCTGTCCAAAGGCATTTCCATGGTCATGTGGCCAGCATGATTTCACAGAGTGCTGTTACATTGCCACCGAAGTGGTACCTATTTATTTACTTTTGAACTGCTTGGTTGGCAGGAATTGGGGTGAGGATGGGAGCTCACCCCATCGGGTGGCACGGGTTTCTAACCTCAGCTGCCAGATTTTCAGCTAACAAGCCCAGCATCTTTATCAACTGAGCCAGCATGCAGCCCATTTGAACTTAGATATAAATCATAATTTAGCCAATATTTATTATTTATTCAACTGGTATTTCCTATTTTCCAAAGGAATTCAAGATAGTTTGTAGAACACTCTTTCTTTCATTCTCCCCGACAATAAATCAGTTATAAAGTACAGTCAACCAATGATCATCTACATCTGAAAACACAATTATACCTAAATTTGCCCTACTCTAATTCAATGCTTTAACCACTTCACCGACTTGCTTTGGCCAGAAAACCAGCCAGAATTCTTGAATTTTGTATTAATTGAATCTTTCAAACCATTTTCAAGAGTTGCTCCGTATATTATAACGAATGTTGAAATTGCTACAGCTACACCACAGTTTATAACATCAGACAAAACTATTAGAACATACTCCAAGCAAACAAATTCAAGAATTGGGTTTATTTATTTATTTATTTATAGCGGCAGTGGTGCAGTGGTTAGAGTGCAGTACTGCAGCCTATTTCTGCTGATCACTGGCTGCCAGCAGTTTGGCAGTTCAGATCTCACCAGCTCAAAGCTGACTCAGCCTTCCATCCTTCTGAGTGGATAAAATTGAGGACCCAGATTGTTGGGGGCAATAGGCTGACTCTGTAAACCGCTTAGAGAAGGCTGTAAAGCATTGTGAAGCGGTGTATAAGTCTAAGTGCTAAGTGCTATTTATTTATTTAGAAAATGTATATGGTCGTTCACTTACTCTAAGTGACTCTGGGTCGCTTACAAGAAATAAAAACTCAATATCAACCAATAAAACAAAACCCTCATCCAAAACTCCAAATTTCATAGTGACAGAAATCTTTGATGAAGTAATGAATACCTTTTTTTTCTAAATGTCTCTGGAGATTTCAATCATTCAGGTCATGGATGTCCCAAAGGTGCTTTTCCAAAAGGCTATTGGTTTGTTTTTGTTTTTTTCTTTTTCTTGAAAACTTTTTGTGAAACATTTTCAAGGAAAAATAAAATCAAGAAAGTCCAGTTGCCTTTTGGGAAAGCACCTTTGGAACAACTGTTTTCTAAGATTTACAGAAAGAGAAGGATAGAGGAAATCCTCCTTAACACATAGTCCACAAATACAAGATCAGGCTTCATAAAGATCAAGAAACATGACTCCTGGGACTGTAAATATGCTGCTTAACCGGTATAGAATTTTCAAGTCTGATCAATTTACACCTTCAGATTTTCAGAATACCATGAGATCCTACTCAGAAATAATGTCCACTACTGCCACTTCCATTGTCTTGGTGGAAAAAAAATTGTGGTCTCCAATTGGTTTTGAATCACAACTCCCAGCAACTCCAGCCAACATGGCCTATGCCCTATGCTGAGGGCATCATGAAAACATGGCCGCTTTGTACTTCACTTTTATCAAGAGAAGCCAATATGTAAGCATCGATGGAAGTCTATTTATCACTTTTCTAAAGTACATTTTATCCAACAGAGGTTATTATGATATGTTGTTGAAGGACATGTTGGGTTCAGATAATAGCTGGCATTGCAATATATGAAATAGAAAATTTTCAGTGGGAGTTTTCAGTGAGTCTCCCCAGTGGGGAGATAAGTTGGATAATTTAAATATTATGCTTGTTTTAAGTTTTACATTTTCTTTTTTTGTGTGTGTTTCTTATAAAAAATAGGGGAAACCAGCTGCTAATTTTTGCAATTATTAATCAGGGTTCAGTCATTTCAGCAGAACTGAAACCATGTACTGTTGATCGCTCACCAGAAAATCCAAGAATTGTTATTAAGCAATATTTTTGGTCCTCATCTCTTAACAGATCACTGGACTCCCTCTTTTGAGCAACTTGGCTTGTCTCCATTAATTTATTTATTTGCAATTGTCAGATTTTTTAAAAAATCTTTTTTTATTATTTGACTTCCCTCATTCTTATAACTGGACGGAGCCTCATCATCAGCCATAAAAAGAGTTTCAGGGGCCACAGATGAACCCAAAGTCTTAGATCATTACTTTTATGCTCCAAATAAATAGGTGTCTGGATTTTATGAGGGACTACTTAGCATTCCTCTGAGAAATTGAGGGTATTCAAATTTCTGGAACAGAAAAGAAGAACATAATGTACTCATGTTGTTCAGGTAGTCCTTGATTTACAGCCACAATTGAACCCAAAATTTCTGTTCCTAATTGAGACAATTGTTACATGAGTTTTGCCCCATTTTACTATCTTTCTTGCCACAGTTGTTAAGTATATAAAACCACTGCAGACCCTTTTTAAATGAATTTGGCTTCCCACTGATTTTGTTGTCAGTTTATAAAAGGGGATCACATGACCTGGGACAATAAATTTGTGTCAGTTGCCAAGTGCCTGAATTTTGATTACATGACCATGGGGATGTTGCAATGGTCATGTGAAAAACGGTGATTTTTTTCAATGCTATTGTAACTTCGAATGGTCAGTAAATGAACAGTTGTAAGTTGAGGACTAGCTGTACGCCTTTTCTTGGTGATTCTACATACTCTGAATGCATTAACAAACATCCACCTGTCCTCCTCCCACTCTTGTTAATTAGAAGGACAAATGATTTGTTAATTAATCATTGCTTTGCTGTCCAATCTCCCATTAAGAGTTGATTGCATCACAAAGATTTTTTTCCAACCTAATCAATAGTCATCCAAACTCCCACTTTATAGACAGATTAGTTGCCCTTGTGGTTTCAATTCATTAAAACAGTAACTCAAGTGGAAAATATTTCAACTTTTAAGCATTGCCAAGTCATGGGATAAACTATGTATCATACAATCCTGTAGTTTGTCTTCCATACATTCCAAATTTAGCATTATTGACTATTTGATCCTCTACTTTACCTTTGAATCTTATATTCTAACTGTTTTTGAATAGTCACACAGTGGCTGATAACAATAGATAATTGCTTATTTTACACTAAAATTAACAGTGAGTGAGCTCTCATAACATGCTGGGCCTTCATCCCTGTAATTTTAGAGTTCTCAGCTGAAATTCTGAAATCTGAGGTTTCAGTTGAGAATGCTAAAGTCACAAGGACAAGCTCTCCAAAATCTTACCACTTATGAAGTGATCTTGCTTTTTTTTTTTTTAAGTTTTGGTTTGTGTGTGATCATGTAATTCAGAAATAATTTAGGAATCCATATATCTAGGGAGGTTTTGGAAGATGGATTTATGGAATAATCTGAGATTTTCAAACACAGTCCTCCCTTTACATTTAAGCTATGGTTATTTAACTATAATAACAAGCTACCATTTTGCATTTCGATGCTGAAATGTTTACAGTAGAGCAAATGAAAGCAACAGACGAGGAACATTAGCGAAAAATTCCTTTTATAGCAGGAATTGGTCATTTGATCAAAAGGTTCTATGCATTTGAAGTAAAAACTTCCCTGAGCCAATTTGATCGATTGTGACTGATTATATAGCTATCCATTTCAGTTTCTGGACAACACAGTAGACGGAATTTACCACTGCCTTCTTCTGGGACAGTTTTCATTTTCCCAATCTTGCCTATAACACTTAACTTAATTCTTATTTCTTGAATCCATATACAAGCAGTGCGCTTGCATGAATGCACATTTTCTTGGGATGCAGCTCACAATTCAACAAATGCTCCAAGATATACCGTATATATGCAAATTACCTGCAAAATGCAAATAAGAAAAGCATGAACATTTGCTTCCACATTTTTTTGCAGAAAGTATGCATTCAGAGAGACCAGCATACAAAATACACATATTAAAATAAATTTATATACAATCCAGATGCTATGTCTATGAGGACTCTTTTAATGATACAGGTGAGAAAAAAAATCTTAGTTAAAAAAACTGGAAATCTCTACCAGAATTTTTAAAAAATATTCTATACAAAGTGAAGATTAAAACCCTGTTAATTCTGCAGGTTTTTGCAAAAACCCAACCTGGACTTGGCCTCATTTATAAATAACAAGATAAAAATAATGTCCTAACGATTGTAGAGGCATCGTAAAAAGAAAGACACGTTTAAAGTTGCCAACCCTGAAAGATAGGGAAACACAGAACAAACTCATCACAATTTAAGCAAAATTACTAATTAGCAAATATTAATAATTACATTATGAAACATTATTTAACTATTTATAAATAAATGAATAATGAAAATATATGCTTGATGCCCTCCCTGAAAGTCAGAGAAAGTAAGGACTAAGTAAAACACAAAAGGAAGATGATACATAATTTTAAAGTGTATAATTTCTGATTTTGCCAAAGTAAGTGGACCTCTATAAAAAGACAACAGTCATAAAACTATTTCCTGGAAGATTTGCACCCATTTCTGGATAGGGAGGATCTACTCTCAATCACTCTTACCTTACTCTTCTCCCAAATAGACTACTATAATGCGGTTTAGATGGGACTACCCTTGAAGAATATCTGGAAGCTTCAGCTGGCTCAAATGCAGAGGTGTGTTCTC